ATTTTAAAGAGGGACTATCACATCTATGCGAATCAGCATTTCATATCTTCTAGCCTCACGTTTACTGCAGAACCTACGTGATGAAGAAACAACAGTCTCACTTAAAGCACGACTCCTAGTATGGCCAAGTTGTTTGAGCTGTTGCATACCGTCGCCTACTCCTATCAATGGAACAGCAAATTTCAGTGTGTGGAAACCAAAATCTCTCCACTGGCTATGCTCTCACAGGCACATTTTAGTAATTCAGGGGAATACTGCTCTCTGATGCATTGCCAGAGCAAATGATCACACTGTTTTCCACGTGCTACCTTACACCATGGGAGTCAAACAAAATGCATCTACAGACCAGAGCAAAGAACACAGGTCTCAGTTGGGCACATACATAATGTTTTTCATTTTCAAACCCTTTGAAGAAAGGAGGAAATCACATTCATCTTCATAGCTCCCTTGTGAGATAAATACAAAATGATTGCTTACCCTGTAGTGTACTTTATCTGAAGATTTTATCTCACAGGACTCTGAATGCAGCTTTTTGTGCCTTAGCACAAGACTAACAAAACTTCCTGAATTCATTAATTAATAAGAAATAGTCACACCAGTCATTTATTCTGATTACGTCAAAAACAGTAATAAAGTAATCCCTGAAGTTTGTTTCAAAAGTGAATTGTGACAGCTGAGTACATTACGCTGGAAGCAGAAGTGAAAGTGATCAAAATAGGTCCATCTGTGGTATGTCACAATACAGTCTGTCTGGAACCTCTGGTCCTTCTGATGCTCTGCTCAGCCCAAAATGCGGTGCTCAGGAACTTATCCATTAGCAGAAGCCAAGCTGTCTGACCAAAGTCGTGGTGAGCGGGTAGTGCACTGCTGTGGTGTCAATGATTGCTGAAGCAGTTGGTGTCTGAGCTTGAATGAATCATCTTGGGACACCTACGGATAACTGTAACAGAGTTAAGGACCACGACCTTCAGCACAGACTCACACAGGTTCTCTGATGAGACTTTTCTTCCCATTGTGACCATGGGATCCTCTCTAAGGCTCGACAACCGCCTGGAAGACACAGGATGCATTTGACTACGTGAGGCAAAAGTATCTTTGCCAATAGGCTGACCAACCTCATAAGGAGATCTTTAAACTAGAAATGATGGAGAGAACAAGGAGGTTTGGTGTAGGGTAAGCAAGCCAGAAGCCTGGAATGATGGGAAGAGAAAGGGCACAGCAATTCACAAAACAACCGAGCTGAAGTGTAATTCCTTTGAGCACAGGCATATAAAGGAAATGCCTGGAGCACAGCCTTGTGAGGAAAGCTCTCAAGTCTGGGCTGTGGAACTAGCACACTTGGATGCACCCCAGAGGCCTTTACTCTAAGGCACACAGCATGGGAAAGAGTTCCAAGTCTGTGTGCAGTTACAGGGCTACGATCTCATTGGGATCATGCAGAAACAATGGGATAGCTCACACGACTAAAGCGCTGCAATGGAGGGATACAGGCTTTCTAGGAAGGACAGCTGGGAAGGTAAGGAGGGGGGCTGCCATTGCTGTGAGAGAGCAGCTGGAATACATGGAAACCTGCCTTGGGACAGATCGTGAGTCGGCTGAAAGCTTTTAGGTCAAGATTAGCAGGCAGACCAGTATGGATGCTCTTGTATCCAGTATCTACTACGGATCTCCTGATCAGGAAGAAGTAGCAGATGAGGCCTTCTCCATACAGCTGGAAGAAGCTTCATGTTTACAGGCCATGATCCTCACGAGGGACCTAAGCCACCCTAGTACCTGCAGGTATCTGAACATACAAAAAAACCAAACTCTTTTCTAATGTGAGAGTGGTCAAACGATGGAACAAGTTGCCCAGAGAGACTGTGGAGTCTCCATCCTCGCAGATGATCAAAATGTGTCCGGACACAGTCCTGCACAACCTGCTCTAAGTGACCTATTTGAGCAAGGTAGTTGGACTAGTTGATCTCAAGAGCTGCCTTCCCACCTCAACCATTCTCTGATCCTGTGATGTTTAGCTCCATTTAATTTGATTCCTCATACATTTAAAATACAAGTCCTCGCCAGTAAACATATGCATTGCATCTTTATTCTTGACACACAGCCCCACTGCAAACCATTATCTCCAACTGAGTGGTCTCCCTGAGATCAAATTAAGCAAAGCATATTTAGGACTGTGGCCCAGCACAGTCATTTTCCTAACCACACATTTTACTTCACCTTTGTTTATTCAAAGGATCTCATTTGTATTAAAAGAACTTCCATTTCATACAGATGGTCAAAGGATTCACTGATCTGTTATTTCAGTGACAAAGCTTCTCCCAAACTGAAGTTAAAATGAAAATTTAAGCAATGTAGATGAAAATAATAGTATAAATGAAGCCAGAAATTCCATCAATGTTTTTTTCTTTAAGTTTCCCAGGATGGCAACACTGTCCAACAGAAACCCAGTATTTGTTTGCCTATGTAATAAGAATGTTCTGTAACACAGCAAATGCATATAAATGTCTATCACTGCAGAATGGTAGAAATTCTATCTATACAGGATAGAATCATGGAATCGTAGACTGGTTTGGGTTGGAAGGGACCTTAAAGATCATCTAGTCCAACTCCTCGCCATGGGCAGAGACACCTCCCACAAGACCAGGTTGTGACTATAATACCATCCAACCTGGCCTTGAACACTTTGCACAACAGAGGCTCTGTAGACAGAGCAATATTTTAACAAGCCTTTCAAAATAAGGAGTGTCTACTCTTTACCATCTCTGGTGAATTTTAACATCAAAGTCAACTATTCTTTATTCCTATCCTCCTGAAACATTTCACTCCTCCATTTACCCAGAAATTACTCTACACGTGACACCATATAGCATTATAAAACTATCTGCAACCACAGCACGTAATTATGAATGTTTGGTAAGAGGGGCCAGGAAAGCACTGACAGCTCCCAGGCTGTGATAACAACACTAATGGTAAAACACCTGCTGCAGGAAAAGAGATTTCAGAGGCACAGTTTCTCATTTCCTGCTTTTGTTGGTTGTCAGAAGGTGACAGACGTGGAACAATCTTCAGATTATGTCAGAGATGTGTACCACTGGACACTCAGCTTTGAGGGAGAACACTGCAGAGCACGGCATGTGAAGATACCTTTAAGTAACACCAGTTTTACAAAAACACATTCTGAGCTAACTGCTTGCTGACAGAAATTGGCTGGTTACATGATATCTCCATACAAAATATGGAAATTCTGTGTTGTGAAACAGGAAGAGAAGGCACAGTCACAAAGTGTAATTGATAATAAAGGTGAAACAGGAAGAGATGAAGGAGAAGAAAGTAGCAATTCCAACCCACCTATTGCATTTAAGGTTCTAGACTGCAATTTCAACAATAATTTATCAGTTGCAGTAAAGAAACGTAACAGATAGCAAATTGTTCAGCGTATCATGTTTTCATCTCATTTGTGGCCATGAGGGCAGCACACACGTTTGTGTCACACAAAATTCACTACAGGATCGGGGTCTCTGTTTTCATGAAGAGATTGAGGTCATAAATTTCTCCCAACAGGCAACTGGGCTTCTGGCCACAAAGGGGATGGAAAAAGTCCAAAAGAGCACACAGAACTTCACTCAGATGAGAAAATGTTAAGAAATGTGTGTACAGTAATAATGGAAAAATATTCATAACTTTATTTTATTATTCTTTGATGTATTTCTCAAAGCATAACTTTACTCTTCTTCAGAAAGGTTGCCGTAACTACTCCAGATTATCCACGTGGTACACTGCAGACACATTTCTGAGGAAAATGAAAGCTCAAGAAGTGTACTAACAGCCTATTACTGTACAACCTAAAGTATATATTGTCCTTGGGGGAGACCTACAAATGACCCCATCTGAGAACAAGATTTTCTTTCTTTCACTGTTACCTAGCATGAATAGATAACTTCCTCTGAAAAAAAAAGACTCCTAGCGAGATTATTAAATTACTTTCCAGGCACTTACATAGTAAGATTTGCCAAAGTTAATATAATTACAGCTTCTGAATTTAGACAAAATTTTCCTAGTATTTTAGAAACAAGTGTCAGATTTATTTGTTTTGAAAGATGGAAGAGGAATTAGAATATCCATGGGATGGCAAATCTCCCTTCCTGCTTCTCTCTTTAACAGCCCATATACTGCATTGGTATTTTCCTTTTAATTGTATATTCTTCAGCTCCAGTTGAGAAAATAGCAGGAACTACATACGGACTCCCAGGGAAAGGATGACGAGTAAAACTTCTGACCTATTAAGAGAATGCAGTAACTATGTTTTAAATATGGTTAAAAGACTTTCAGGACTAGCAATCACAATAACAATTTTTATTCTTTTGGGTTCTCTTCCTCTCCGTGCCCACACATTGTGTTTTGGGTGCCATTTTTCTCTAAAAATTAAGATAATTTCAAGACATGACAACCAACACTTCACAACAGGGACACACTATGAGGATCTCTGGGAACAAAAAAAAAAGTGAGCAGGCAAAAAGTTTTTCAGGGGAACCATAAAATGCAATTACCGTGCTTCTTACCTTTTTATAACTCATAGAGCCCGAGTGACCTGGGACAGTACCTAATGGAAAGCAGTACTCACAACAATAAATTAACAATTATGGGATGCAGACACTGTATTCCCAGACTGCTTTTAAGTATGAGAAGTCCTGGCACGATCCCATTTTTGGACTTAATACAAGAAGGATAAACAACAAGGAAAACAATCTCAAGTCTCCATACACTGACCAATTTCAGCCCCAGACGAACATAAAAGCAATAGCCATATATTCTAATTAATGATAGATCAGATATTTTGGAGTGAAACATGGTTAGACAAAAGCACAAGAAGCCACAGTTTAAAGACTGAGCTTTTCAATCTACAGAAATGCTTGTTTTTCATAAGACGACTTAGTCAGTATTTTCAGACTTTTGCAAGTACTTTTGTAGCAGATAAACAACGTCAACTGAAAAATAAATCCTACCTGTTTCCTCTTCTCAGGTGGAAGGGATGGATCCCCATCCTACAAATTAATGGACATATTTTATTGGCAACTTATTTCTGAAGCCAGCAACTATATTAACTTTGTGGATCAATTTTTAAAACATGTATTTTTACAAAAATGTTATCAAAATTGTTACTAAGATACTGCGTCTTGATTAATACCAGTAATATTAATTTCAACTCAAAAACTGTCTAAGTCTGAAGATTTGTTTACGTTTCTAGAACAGCAGGTCATTACAAATTTATGTTGCATTATTTTTCATAACGGTACATTAAGTTGCTGTGGAATAATAATACCGCAGTCAGTTTTTAAATGGAATTATGACTGAAACTAATTTCCTCAGAGCACGCACTGTCTTTCTGTGTCTTATATAACAGGCACTACCTCATCAATGCGGAACAAATGAGTAATAATATGATCAAGGCTGTACAAGAACTGCAGGACTACTGTAAACAAGTACCTAAACATTTTAGCAGCGTTCATTATGGACTTTTGGGGGGTTTTTTTGAGGTTGACTCTTGTCCCCCAGTTATACAGCATTCATAAAGAACAACCTACAATCAGCTCCCGATACTTCTTTTTCAGAGACTGGTGTCGTTCCCGCAACTGGTTGGCCATAAGCTTGTACTGGTCTCTTTCTTGCTGACAGGTATCCAGCTCTTTGGAAAGGATTAGCAATGCCTCCTTTTTACTTTCAAGTTTCCTTTTACACACCAGATACTGCAGAAGAGAGAAAAAAAACAACATAACTGTAACAAGCCATTTTACCCCAGCCAATACTGGATTCAAGAGTCTCAAGTTTTTCTCTGAATAGATGGAGGAAGACTCTCTGCACCAGATCAAAGACTTCCACAAGTCCCCTTAGTTTATTAATAATGTTCACAGCAAAGAAATCTGTTGTATCAAAAGCCTGAAATCCAATTGTGAGGCCGTATGCTCACCTGAGCACTGTGAGTTAGAAAAATAAAAAACTTTTCCTTATGTGCAGTAGTATAAGGAACATCACAATTCAACCCTCAGCCCTGGGAAGGCTGCTGGAAGGAAGGAGCCTTTGCAAATTCCCTCTTCTACTTGTGTCCGCAAGCTGGGGCTCCCAGTTAGCAACCTGCATGATCCACCTCATTCCCCATTCCCTCCTCCTTCCTGCTACCAGCAACATCCTCTGGGCTCAACTCCCCACCTGGACAGTGAAACAGGACCACGTTACAGCAGTAGGGGTACCATGAGTGGCAATCAAAATTTACCTTAAATCTAAAACACTTACAGTGTGATACCCTGTCCACACAGGTACAAGAAACTAATTTAGCTGTGATACTATACACACATGCTTGTTGAATCAAAGGAATGGAAATAACGCAGGAATATTGCAAACACCTGAATGGGGAGGGAAGGCAGAGGTTAGCCTTCCCCTCCAGCCACTGCCTCTCATGTGTAGGGCTCACGCACAAAGCAAAGCAGAACTTAAAATCTTAGCTGCTCTGCATGAGTCTGATCTGCTTCATTGCCCCTCCCCACTGAGAGGAAGAAAGAGGAACGCATACATCACGCTTTCCTGCAGGGGCTGAATTTTACCTATCAAAAGTTTCAGGCAACTTCTTTCATTTAATGTGATGTTCAATCAGCAGATTCTTCTTACCTATCACTTGACACTGCTCATGCTAAAGCATATATTTCTATTTCTGATGTTACTCACATGAGACATGGCACTAAATACTTTCTGAATGTGCTCTGCAAGAGACTGAATATCACAGCAGTCACGAAAACAATTTATAGTTTCATTATATACTCTGACAAGAATACTTTGTCATTATGGGCTCTTTCACAAAGCAAGAGCATCAGCACTTCCATGCTGTTCAAGTCTGTGCTGTTCTTTGGGACAAAAATCATTACTTGTATGTACCACTTGCTTGGAATTGACTCTGTTAACCTCAATTTCAAGTCAATGAGAAAAGGAAAAGTCAGTTTGGTATATCAGTATAGCCAATGTTTTCCAAAAATGGTAAATGCTTAGTTGCAAAAAAGCGGGAAGAGAATGAGAAAAGTGATTCCAAGAGGATATGAAGTCTCAGAAAGGACACTTCCACCTTGGATTAATTTTATTTCTGGCAACGCTGAAGTTGAAATCCTGCCATAAATTTTGTGGACTATGATGCCTTGGCACCAACAAAGGCAACTGTACCTATGCACTTATGTCCTTACTGATACCTTAACACAAATGTCAAGTCCCTTGATGAAGCACTGAAAGATATCAGAAGCTAAAGTTTAATATTGTCAGCAAGTGATTATAGTGACATGGTAGACTGCTTCAAACTTGATAAAATACTTCCTTCCCTTACAGTGAAATATTTGCCTCTGACAATCTTCTTTTTTCCAGTTTCATCTCATGTCTTAGTCAATTCTAAACTATGCCTTCACTAACTTGTTTTTAAATACTAACAAGCTGATACAGTAATGAGTAAAAGCAAACCTCATGATCACTTTAAAAAAACCCAACAGCCCAAACCCCTGAACCAAGTAGCCTGTCCTGTTCCTTTAACCACCACGAAGAATGAAGCTGGTCCAGCCAGCGCCTACGTGGAACAAAAAAAACAATACAAAGTACACTGTGGGAGGGGAGCAAAGCCAAACATCTGCCCACAGGGCACCCAGGCCAGCAGCAGGTGCCTCTGAGCCTTGCCATGAGCGCTGGCGTATGAAATGGGGTATGAGAGCTGGAAGCGAACCGGAGCATGTGGATAAGACTATGAAAAATAATACTTATCAAGCAGAAATGCAGACCTAGTGCTAAACAAATCTTGCTTCTGCCACGAGCTACAGCTCTTCACAAAGGACACGTTCAAAGCATAAAAGCAGGCTTCACCTTTCACAGCAGCAGCACTGGTGGGGGAAATGGAGAATTCCCTTATCTGTTAGGTTGAGAATAATGAACCACAAACAGATTGTGGGGATGGCTGTGTTCAGGTTTGAAATGAAAAGGAATAACGATCTCCTCCTTCCTTAAAGTATGTTTTAACTTGATGAATTATACACTGATGATGTGCTGTATGAAAGGAAGGGGCTTGGCATCTCTCATCAATATGTTGCTTGGATTTTACTATAAAAATGACCAACTGGAAGACTTTTTGAAGCTGTTTTTGCCTTTTACATATATCGACTTTCCCAAATAAATGGGATAAAAATAGCAATAATGTACAGTAATTTGTTTCCATGAGCTTATGGTACAAGAAACAAAGCCATAGCACTTCTGCAGAATCTGATTATTCAACAGAGCTATCTTTCCAATTCCCATTACCATTTTTGAAGGAAAAACAAATTATACAAAGACAGACCTCAGAGAGGTTATTCAATATATATGCTTCTGAATGGTAGAAAAAAAGTACTCATAACGGCCATAAACTGACCTAACAACTGTATGCTAGAAATGGATTCTACTCAGGAAAACATGCAAGTTCCACCAACAATTTCCCATATATGGACAAATAAGCGGAGTAAAATTGGTATGCTGTTAAAATGAACATACGAGTTTAACAGTCTTTTTGGAGCAAAGCAAGCAATAAGGAAAATTTTGTCATATCGTCTGAGAAAAAGCATTCAATAGATGCTTCTGGCATTCATATAGAGATTTCTTCCTCTGCAGCTGAGGGAAAAAGCCTACATCTCACATACTGCCTATTTGTGAGACAAACAAGTGAATTCTGTTACTCACTAAAGTTACTATGAAATACTCTTATTTTCTTTTGTTTCTTTTTAATCGATGTTCCAAAAGAATCTGAGTTTAAAAAACAAAGTTAACCAAAACAAGCTGCTGCACTTTCTAAAAGCTACAATGTACAACTTTTCATATCTGCCTAGTGACTTTTATCTACCAATTCGCTGTTATCTGCAATAAAGCAAATTATAATTGCTACAAGGAAGATCATAATAATTAAAGGAATATATATGACATCCTACATTACTGCCTGAACTGCTTTACAGCCAGCTAACTACTTTAGTGAAATTGAGTAAAAAGAGACTGACATTACAGGTGAGTGTAACTGCTCCAAGGTGACTCTCTACATCAAACAGATACTATTTGTCCACTGCTATTTTTAGTGACAAATCTGGATAGATCTCATTAACGACGCCATAGACACGGTCTAATAATCTGATGAAGCTGGGACACTGTCAAGGTCTTAGACTTTCTTTTTTTAAACCAACAAACACACCAAATTCCTATCACAAAAGAATTCACTTTCAATTTGTACAAATTACTGGCCTATACTTGGGGCATTTTTAAGACAGTTAGTGCCAAGAAGGAAAATAACTAATTTTCTGATGGTAAAAGTAGAGATGCTATCTCCAAACTGTGGATCCACCATGCTCTCAGAGAAACCAGGAACTGCACTCACCATCTGCTATTGAACTGCCTGAAGTTTTATCAAATTTCTCCTCACTGTACTCTTGGAGGCAGTTTTGTTGTGCAAATGACAAACAGAAGAGTCCCAAAATGCTTCACAATATGACAATTAGGGGTGTTTGTTGACTGTGGTTCAGCCATCTTGCTTCCCTTGACTTCATATTAAACTGTTCGACTTATCCAAAGCAGTCGAGCACTCGAGGCCAGAGAAATACCCAGTTACTGGCCACTTGCCTGCCACCTCATCTCATATCCTCATCTCTGATAAAACCCAAGATAATACCATGTACTTGGTTTCATTCCGCAGTATCAACTCTGCTTTTCCTGCTGCCCAGTGCTCTCTTCACTAGCTGCCTCTTGACTGCTGAAACCGAGCAGGCCGGTATCATCCACTGATGATGTAAGTGATATAAGGAGCTCCCCAGAGCACCACATCTTGTCTTGATGACAGTATTACACCACATTATCTTCACTGGTCAGTTAGGAATGACCATCACTTGATTTGATTTGCCAAAATAACACTATTTTGCAATGTGGCCCAGCCCTTAAAAGTTTTGTATGCTGTGCATCGGATTACATTATTAACGTCTTCCTCTTTATTCCTCAACATCCCTGTGGGTATCTTAGTCCAGTCTGGAACATGGAAACCTGAGAAGCAAACACTTGTTTTGTTGCCTGAAAGCCCAGCACGCAGGTCTCTGTAGCACCTCTCCTATAGCTCCCAAGAACTTTGGAGAGCACTAAGTCACAGTGTCAGCTCTTCTAGTATTTCCACTTCCCTTTCCAAATGACAAAGCCATTACGATGCCAACCCAATCACCTAGGGGCCTCAGAGCATCTGCTCTACTTTGTTCTTCCCTACTGCCACTGACACTTGCCCACATGTACGAAAGCTCTGAAATTACTGGCTCCAAATCCTGTTGGGTCCCCCCCCCCAAACAGGTTTGGTGAATTACATTACACTGTTTGAAAAGGCAACATGACAGAAAGTTACAGAGATATTACAAACATGGAAATCTCACTAATTATCCTTCTTCTTCTCTCTTGTCCACATCAAAAAAAGCGCAACCAGTGGGAAAGGTATGCTCTGCCAATTACAAGCAGGTTAGGTTTCTCACTCTTATTCAGAATTAATGTCTGAAGCATTAAGCTATTTCAGCTAAACTACTGCTCAATAGATGTGTATTTGATAAATAATTCCCAAGGACTCCTCCAAGTTTTAAGTGGGCAATTACTAGGCAAGGGAACTCAAGAGCACAAGCATATAACTCCCCTTTGTGGTGCTGAAGACCATACCCAGTTAATAATCAAGAAATAGCCACTT